CAATTCTTCCAATTGTAGAAGTTAGACTGCGGTAAAGTTCATCTCGCTTCTTGGTATAGCACTCCGTTTCTAGATAGAATCGCGCTTTTGACTGCATTGAGCGTTGGTAAGCTCCGAGTATGTTAGTCCTGTCAATTTTCTGTGTATTCTCTCTTTCCTGAGTCTTTAAAAGTGTCTTCTCACGCCATGGCAGCAATAACTGCACCACAACAGCAACCAAAAGCTGTAAAAGTAGCAGCATAACAGTAGGTTAATATTTGTTCTGATAGAGATTTGAATGCCCAATCTGTCCTAGCTAACCCGGCCATCACATGATCTAGGTGCGTCTTGGCAATTGGTGCTGGAAATTATAGTCTTGCTCTGCAATTTCCTCAAATGGTAGTCGATTCAAGCCTATACCTTGTACTAAGTTGTTGCAATTGATGAATTATATAAGGGAGGGAGGAGGTTGTGCAATTACTGTACAATCCTTCTTTGGAAAAAAAAAATATGTACTTCTCTAATAGAGATTCCAAAGCTAAGTGTATTTGTCTTCTCTGCAGGTCAAGAGACTTGAACACTAAGATGGGTTGTTCTATTGCTGATAGCTTCTTTAATTGTTCAGTAGAGAACTCTTCATTGGAGGCCAGTTGCATCCAGGAATGCTGCTACAGTTGTTTGAGGCCACTTTCGGAATCATGGGTTGGACCTTGGAGTTGCTAGGCCTCATGTTAATCTACAAAATTTAGGTAGATGGAGCCTCTCATCTAGAACTATTTTATTCTTTTCCTCTTATTATGAATACTTCAGTCCTTGTAGTTTCTTGTGAGAACTGACAGGGTGATTCATGATTCAGATCTGAGTTAGTTTTCCTTATATTCCTTATAGTTTTTGTTGCTTCGCCCTCTGGAAGTCAATGCTGACGTCCTTGGAGAGGTATGACAGATTGGATTTTTAACTGATTTTCATTATGTCGGAGTTTCATACTACAATAGTTAGTATTTTCAATTATATGTTAATTAGCTTTGGTTAATGAATGGTATATAATTGTATTGACAATAATGTTAGAATTTCGTGTTATAAGAGTTGGCTTCAATGGTATGTTAATATACGGAATTTTATGTATGGTGGAATCGTGGCTAGTGATTGATAATTAGTCATAGTAGAACACCGTGACCATTTGTTAATATCAAGATACGAGAGAACCAACCAAATACCATGACTAATGATTGACATCTAGTCATGGAAAACAACTTGGCACGGTAAATACTGTGTTAAAAGGTGTATATCCCGTCTCTAAATGGTTTTTTTTTGTCGGATTTGTGTGGAAAGAATTGGTACTAGTCACAGGGTGCCCCGTGATTAATAGGTACAAATTATCATGAGAAATTATACGGTGATTAGGTGATTAGTTGTAACTAGTCATGATACAAATTTACCGTGTCCTTTACAATTCGACGCGGAGGTATATATTACGGTAATTTTCCCGTGAATAAAACTATTTAACACGTGAATCACACTTTCAAACACGTTATTTCCCATGATAAAAAGATCTTTTTCCTGAGTGAACCAAACACCAGATATTTATGTAATTATGAAAACTCACTTTATGAAAATGGATTTCACTTTTATTACACACTATTTTGTACAAATTAATTACCCAAATAAAGTTTTACAAGTAGGTCTCACACAATAAAGTGCAAAATGAATAACACTGAAGTAATGAAGCAATTGAGATTTGTAAAAAGAAACAAATCTACTTGCAAATATGATAGAAACTTATATTTTCGTACTTGATTAATTGTCGGTTTATTATTATTCGGATTATGAGGACTATTCGGGCATAATTGATAGATTGGGTAGTGGTAGGAAATTAGTCATTTTCTATATAAACTATTGTAAACTAGAGTTAGGGTTAAGAAAAGGATTAATCATAAACCTAGTATTCCTAATTGCATTCTCTTCCCTTCCCCTCTGCCGACCCCACTTTCCCCTCTCCCTTCCCTGCTGCGCGCAGCTCTTCCCCCAACCCCTTTCTTCTTCTTCTTGGCAGGCGATCAGCCGCCATTCCCCTTCCCTCTTGTCATTCCAAAAATCCCCAATCCCAATTCTCTTGTCCCTTCCTAAACCCGGATCAAATCCCTAGTTGATCCTAATCCCTAAACACCGGTAGAGCTCTCCTTGAGTTCTATCATTTGGTATCAGAGCCCGGTTCTTTCTTGAGATCCGGAGCAAGCAAATAACGACGAACGCGATGGTGTCGACGAAATCGATGCAAGCAGCTGAGAAGGCCGCCAAGGCGGCGGCGCAAGGACAAGCCACGACCGCGGCAACGGCGGGTGAGGGCGGTCATGAGGTCCCGGTTCAGCGGGATGGGGAGATGGTGGACGAGACGCTGGGAGAAGAGCTCCGCGCCGAGATGGCCAAAATGGCGGAGGCCATGGAGCAGGAGCGCCGGTCCCGACTGAAGGGCGAACGAGCCCGGGAGACGGAAGCGCGAGCTCGGGAGGCGGACGCGCGAGCCCGGGAGGCGGAGTCGCAGAGGGTGTGGCTCGCCATTGGGGAGCTGAAGGCGATGGTGGCTGAGGTCTTAGGGCGAGCAGGAGGGGGCGGCGGCGGCGCCACTGGGGGCGCGGGCTCGTCGACGGGGGACGGGGCAGGCGGAGCCGGCGGCGAGGGCTCGGCGGCGGCGGTCCCGGCAGGTGGAGGCGGCACGGCAGCCGAAGGAGGAGTGGCGGCGCCGGGGCTCGAGACGGCGGGGACGGCGCCGGGAGGGCGGGCGACGGCTGAGGGCGGGCCGGGAACCGGCGGAGGTGGTGCGGGGACAGGCCCAGTGCAGGTAGGGCTAGGCGTGGGCCCGGGTCTGCTACCGACGCCTACGGCCCAAGAGATTGCGGCCCGGAAGGGAAAGGCCAAGATGGCCGGGTATGATGTAGATGGGCCTCCGCCGAACAGTGGACCAGAGCTGATGGGCCAATACACGAAGGTCCATAACGGATTGGGGTGGTTGGATCTAGAGGATGGGCCCGAGTATGATGAACTTAGCCTGACAGACCGACAGGCCAAGTGGGCTGAATCAGAGATGGATCAGAGGGGGCCGGATGGGCCGAGGGGGCCCACAGAACCGGGTGGGCGAGCAGGGGCGGGCCCCATGGGGCGGACCGAAGGGGGTCGGACCGGGTCCGGTCGAGCCGGGATAGGTCGGACCGACGCTGACCGAACCGAAGGGAGCCGAACCGGACCGGGCCGAACCGGTCTGGGTCGACCGGAAGTGGGTCGAACCGGGCATCGCCCGAACCCGACGGCCCAGCAGTACAGGAGGGTGGACTACCGGGAACCAGCTGGCGGGGAGATTCCGTACGGGGCAACTCACGTGCCAGGAGGGTACCCAAACCTGCAGGGCAACTACCCAAACCTGCAGGGCAACTATCCGGGAGACTATGGCTATGAGAATCCGAACCGGATGCCGGGATCTTCTTTTGGGCAGCCGTGGAGAACTCCAGGAAATGACAGGTATGGGCCCCCCTACATGAATTATGAAGGAATGGATGGAGTGGTTTTTCGAGCTAAGCCTCCGACCATTGAGTTTCCCAAATTCAATGGGCAAGAGGATGCAGGTCTTTGGTTGTATGCAGCAGAGAGATGGTTTAGAAATCATCCGGTCCCGGAGGAGAGAAAGGCCTATCTGGCGTCGTTTTATCTGGAGGGAGATGCGCTCCAGTGGTGGGAGTGGATGGAACGGTCCTATGCCGCTGCAGCCACCCCGATCACCTGGCTTATGTTTCAGGAAGAGCTCCGTTATCAGTTTGGAAAGTCAGAAGGGTGGGCGCCCGAGCAGTTGGCAAAACTGAAGCAGACCGGCACGGTGGCTGAATACCGGGCAGAGTTTCTCAAGTTGGGAAACCAGTGTAAGGGGGTCCCAGAGGACACCTTGGTGGGGCTGTGCATGGCGGGTCTTAAGCCCGAGATAGCAGCGGCAGTCCGGGTGTTCGAGCCTGATTCTCTGAAGGCGGCTTTTCGTCTTGCAGGTCATAAGGAGGAAGAGCTCGCTAGTTGGAGGGGCGCCATTGGCCGGTTTCCGAAGTCGAGCAGTGGGAGTAGTGGAGGCGCAGGAGGAGCGGCGGGGGTAGGGCCGACCGGGGCTAACACTGGCAGTGGAGGCCCCGCTCCGGTAGCCAGGATGGGGCCGCGGGCCATACCTAAGGGCTTCGCGCGGCTGTCACCAGCTGAGATTGAGCAGAAGAGGCGTGAAGGCAAGTGCTTCAAGTGTGATGGCCGGTTCACCATTGGGCATCAGTGCCCCAAGGAAGACTTGATGATGCTGGTGGGACGATGGGAGGATGACGCGGAGGACTATGCTGAGGATGCCGGAAATGGTGAAGAAGAGACCTAGTGAGCTAGAGGATCAACCTTGGGGACAAGGTTGATTTTCGAAGGAAGCGGGGATGATAGAAACTTATATTTTCGTACTTGATTAATTGTCGGTTTATTATTATTCGGATTATGAGGACTATTCGGGCATAATTGATAGATTGGGTAGTGGTAGGAAATTAGTCATTTTCTATATAATCTATTGTAAACTAGAGTTAGGGTTAAGAAAAGGATTAATCATAAACCTAGTATTCCTAATTGCATTCTCTTCCCTTCCCCTCTGCCGACCCCACTTTCCCCTCTCCCTTCCCTGCTGCGCGCAGCTCTTCCCCCAACCCCTTTCTTCTTCTTCTTGGCAGGCGATCAGCCGCCATTCCCCTTCCCTCTTGTCATTCCAAAAATCCCCAATCCCAATTCTCTTGTCCCTTCCTAAACCCGGATCAAATCCCTAGTTGATCCTAATCCCTAAACACCGGTAGAGCTCTCCTTGAGTTCTATCAAAATACATCAAACCAAACATAGCCAAAAGTATAATTTAAAAATAGCAATCCTATTTCATCCTTGTGAGTTTTACCTTCCAAATTGCATCCGACCAAATAAACTCATAGGGGTTGTTTGGATCAGGAAATTTAGGTAGGGATTTTGCCACAATCCTTAATCATGAGAGATTTTAACAAAATTATGCGTTTGTGAAGTATAGGAATTGTGGACTTCAGGAATTTTGAATTCCTAATTGGCAGGTTTTTAAAATAGCTGATTGCCCCCAGCTATTTCAAAATCCCTGATATATTTTTTTATTTCTTCCAACCTTATCCTTCTGTTCTTCCAACCTATTCTCCACTGCTTTTGTCTCGTTCAGAGGTAGAATCTTTTGATTTTTTTTTTGGTGGCTTCTTTTGTGTCTTTTAGGGGTCCTGGGTAGAATTGTAAGTTTAACTATTTTTCTCCATTGATATCACTCAGGAAAAAAAAACCTATTCTCCACTACAAGCTATTGACTCTCCCATTTGTTCAATCTTCTCCGACCACACCCACCTCCGACGACAACTTCTTTTCCCCAAACCCAGCAACAACTTGTCTCCGGCGTTGATTCTTCCTCCGGCGATCTCAGGATTGGGCGATTTCCAGTGAATGAGTTGAGAGGATCTCTTCGATTTCTTCTCCGATTTCTATGGATCTGCTACCCTTTCGCTAGGCCTCGATAATCGACGAGGTTCAAGAGCACAGGACGTCGATTCTCCTTCTTCCTCCTCCGAACCAGTTGATAGCATCGTATTTGCACGTGTTTTCACTCTGGTTTCCTGCCCATTTTGGCTCGAATTGATTGTTCCTTGGCCTATTTTACGCTAGGTTGTGTTCCTTTGTCACATTTCAGGTCCTAGCACATAAAGTGAAGCATAGGCGCAAGTTTCAAGTCAATCAGAGATCAATTGACGATTCGGGAGAAGAAACTCGGGTATGACCTGAAGAAGAATGGATTTCTACCTCACTTTATGGACAAAGAATCATGCAAGCTTGTCATGAAAAGAAAGAGGACGAGACTACGAGCGTCTGGGTTCAAACGGCGACTGATTTGGAGTCCGGACGAGGGAGAAACGAAGCTTTGAACAGGAGCGGAGACAGAATTACGGGCAGCCCCTGCCAAATTACGGCCGTAATTGGCCAGGGCATGCCCGTAATTTATTGGCCGAGCCTTCTACCCAGAATTCCCTCGCGGTGATAAAATTACGGGCAAGACCCCAAAAATTACGGCCGTAATTCCCAAATTACTGGCGGTAATTGGGGAATTACGGGCGTATCTCCTCCTCCTGCAGCTTAAGCGAAACGTGCGTTTTGGTGTGAATTACGGGCAGGAAGTGATTACGGCCGTAATTCTGCCCGTAATTCGCCCAGGGAATTACAATTGAACCTAACTAAGGGGCTAGGGGGACTCACTCCCGAGTGACTCTTACCTGCTTTAGAAAACCGAACAGTTTACTGCTTTCTTACTGCTTTTGCTTTTAACAACAATCACTCGAACTAGTTTGCTAGATAATAGAGAATCACGGAGTAAGCAGTAGATCTAGACCCCGGGTTGATAATATAACTTGCCTGTTACTGCATTCCCGGACTGCGATTACACTTGGTCGCAGTTTGGTGTTGTGTTTTGGCGTGTCAAGTTTTTGGCGCCGTTGCCGGGGATTCCTCTAGATTATTGGGGAAACGTGAGAATTTGTTACTCTAGCTTTTTATTTACTGCATTTTATCTCTTCCCCCTGTGTGCCTTCACGGGTTGCTTCTGCTGATTGTGTGCAGGTAGTGCATGACCCGTAGCCAGTCGGGAGATCTACTACCATTAGACCAGGAGCTTGAACGAACCTGCAGGAACTCCAAGCGGGCTCTAAGGGCGCGACTGGCTACGGAGAAGGCGCTCTCACAGCTGCAGATCGGAGAAAAAGAAGAAGGAGAGATGGGTGATCCGCAGAACCACGAGGTGATCAATCCAGATGAGCAGACCATGGGATCCTACTGGACCGCTAGGGCTGCAGACATGAGGTCACCCATTCAACACCCTCATGTCCCAGCCAACAACTTTGAGGTGAGCACCTCCGTGATCACCATGCTGCGCGGTTCAGTGGTGTTCCGTGGTAAGGAGGGAGAGTGCCCTCGATCACATCTCAGGCGATTCCACGAGCTCATCGATGGAATCAAGATCAATGGGGTACCAGCAGATGCCATCCAGCTGAGGTACTTCCCATTCACTTTGGAGGGGCAGGCCAAGGAGTGGCTAGACACTCGACCTCCGGGCTCCATCACCACGTTCGCCAACCTGGCGGACAAGTTCCTCACCCGCTACCATCCTCCATCCAAGACAGCTGACTTGCAGAAGCAAATTACACATTTTGCTCAGGATGAGGATGAGACCATCAGGGATGCTTGGGAGAGGTACACCAGTCTCTTTCTCAGGTGTCCCAATCATGGTTTTAATGATGCATTCAAGGTGGGCACCTTCTATCACGCTCTCTTCCCGGAGGACAAGCAGCTGATCGATTCGGTTTGTGGCGGGAACATGCTGACCAAAACCCCGACACAGCTGAATCAACTCTTTGAGGAGATGGCGGAGAACGGTTATGACTGGGGCACTGCCAGGAGATCGAGACGAGCACCTGGACGGGGTGTGCATGCTGTGGGCGCCCAGTCATCTGATTTGGTGCAGGTGGTATCGAAGCTGGTTTCAGCTATCGATCGTTCTGGTTTGATTGCAGGTACAGGACAGCCGCAGGCGATGCACTGCCAGTGGTGCGAAAGCACCCATCACACGGTGGAAGACTACCAGGCGATGAAGGAATCTACCACACCCCAGGAGCAGGTGAACTTCATTAATAACGTTAGGCGCAATGACCCCTACAGCAACACGTACAATGAGGGGTGGCGCCAGCATCCTAACTTCTCCTGGGCTGGACCAAATCCTAGACCACCAGCTCCCCAGGGACCACCAGGCTTCCAGCGGCCACCATATCAGCCCAGACAGGGGCAATTCCAGCAGCAACAACAGTCTCTCTATCAGCCCATGCAGGGGCATGCTGCTCAATCACAGCCGCGGCCTTTCCAGCAGCCAGGTGCAGCTCCTGCTGCCCCAGTGCAGAATGATCAGATGGCTGAACTGCGGGACTTGGTGGGTTCTCTCGCCAGTGCTAGTGCTCAGAAATTCAACACCTTTGAGCAGTTCATGGAGAAGGCCTCGGGTAAACTCCTGGCTCTTGAAGCTGGTCAGAGGAACACACAGGCTGTTTTGCAGGATATCCAGACCCAGCTGGGGAGCGTGGCCCAGGCAGTGGCTCAAAGGGCTCCTGGTACTCTACCAGGGCAGACCATCCCTCACCCGCCGACCCCGGACGAGCGCTGCAATGCCATCATGACCAGGAGCGGCAAGGTGACTGTCGATCCACCTGTTCGGGCAGGAGAGAGAGAGACCCCTGCTTCAGCACTTCCAGCTAATCAGGAAGAAATGGAGAAGGAGGTTGAGGTGCCTGCTCCTAAACCGCAACCAGTGGTGAAGGAGTATGTACCACAGCTTCCCTTTCCTACTCGGTTGCACAAGGACCGACTGGAGACTGAGTTTGCCAAATTCATGGCAATGTTGAAGCAGCTGAATGTCCTAGTGCCCTTCCTGGAGGCACTATCGCAAATGCCAAAGTATGCGAAGTTTCTGAAAGAGCTTCTCTCAAAGAAGCAGAAGCTGAGTGAGCTGGCCACTGTGGAGCTCAGCGAGGAGTGCTCGGCTATTCTGCAGAACAAGCTTCCGCAGAAGAAAAAGGACCCAGGTAGTTTTACTATCCCGTGCTCTATTGATAAATTGCATGTAGAGAAGTCCTTGGCGGATTTAGGTGCTAGTATCAATGTTATGCCATATCAACTGTTCATGAAACTAGGCCTAGGTGAACCCCGTGCTACTAGGATGACCCTTCAATTAGCTGACAGATCTGTAGTGCATCCTAAGGGCATAGTGGAAGACCTTCTGGTTAAGGTTGGCAAATTCACATATCCTGTGGATTTAGTTATCCTGGACATTAATGAGGACACAGAAGTGCCTCTTATACTAGGAAGGCCTTTCCTAGCCACCGCCAAGGCTCTCATAGATGTGCATGATGGGACCTTAGTTTTGAGGGATGGCGAGGAGCGAATAACGTTTTCAGTTGCTAACATTATACCTGCTTCGTTACCTCTGCATGCTGTATCTCACCAGGTGCACGAGTCTGTCGTGTATCCTTATGTGCTGCCTATTTTGCAGGACCCGCCTCCCACACCTTCGCCGCCACTCCAGACCACTCCGTCATCAAAAGAACAGATCAAGGAGGAGTGGCGGCCGAAACTGCAGGCAGCTAAGCCTGCTCGAAAGAAAGCCGGAGACCACTATGAGCTGGTCCCGCCCCCACCTTGGCCATCCGAGTATTCACTCGCTTGCATCTTGCCGGATGGCCAGGTCGAGCTGGAAAATGCAGGTGGCCACATTCGTCGCGTGCATGGCCACCATTTGAAGCTGTACCTCAAGAGCGATGTGGATCCGCTCTTGAAGGCACCTGATCCTACACTTCCCTGAGCATCCATACTGGCGTCCAGCTAAAAGACGGTAAAGAAACGCTTGTGGGGAGGCAACCCCACCAAGGTTTGTTTTTCTTTCGTTTGTTTTTGTCGGTTTGTCCACTTGGAACTATGGTTTCTATCACCCACTGTGTTTTGCTGATGCTAGCCCGCTGACTGGTCCACTTCCAGTCCCCCAACAGTGTTTCAATCCGGTAACATCGTTCCCCTCATCTTTCCCTCTACTCCATTGAGGGCAATGTCGTGCTTAAGTGTGGGGGGGTGCTTTGTATCGGTTGGAATATATGTCTGTGTGCTTGGAGCCTAGTCCGCTGTCCGAATCTTATGATTTGAGGGCTCCGGGTACTGCTGTTTGATCATATTGGCACTGTGTTTTGATGGATGAACTGATTGGTTTTCAGATTAATGCATGACAACTTGTTTGCGACTAGGACAACCTATAATGAGGACTGAGATGTGTAGTAGAACGATGTAGGGGTTCAGTTTTTCAACTGTTTGCTTACCAACTGTGACTTGGATCGATTACTTGTTCTTGACAGTCGTTTATGCATCTAGTTCAGGGTATCAGAATGTGAGATAGAGCATATAGGTAGCCATGTGAGATTTGAGCCTGCTCGTTTCTTTCTTGTGCGATAGATCCCTCTTCCATAATGTGTAGCATTCACGTTGTCACTAGCTAAGATGATGGGGGCATAGGATTAGCCCACGACCAAAATTGACTGTCCTGATGTGTCATATCCCCTAGTCAGCCCCTTTGAGCCGTGTGTTATCCTTTCTTTTGGTCTCTAACGAAAAAAGCACCCTTGTTGCATCTTTTAGAAGGTTCCACAGAGTGGTTTTTACATATTCTCTGCTGTTTCTGCTAAAGTCTATGTGAGTATTGGAGGTAGTGCTTAAAAGTTGGGCAGGTGTTTGAAATTTGTGCAGGAGTGGTGGCTCTCTTAAGAAATGAAAAGAAAAATGAAAGTAAAACAAAGAAAAAATTGAAAGCAAAAGAGAGCCACTACCAAAAATCTGAATAATGCCCATTAAGTAGTGTTTCTTAGCAGTCTGGCTTGGAAATGCTGATGTTTATGCCTCCTTC